GATTAGTTTCTTATGCACTCTACAATTTATTTTGGCTAATAAACTAAGAAAAGATATATTAATACAGTTTAACAAGAAGATGTCCATTCTTCACATTCTAGAGCCCTAAGACAAATCCAAGCAAAACACAATTAGCCTCACTAATATATATTAGAGTTCAGAAGAAGGAAAATTCTTTCCAAAACACTTCTTGAGGCATACCAATTTATCAATGCCAAGAAAGTCTGCAATTAATTTTATGTTACATTTTCCATTTTTAAGACTCTTTTTTAAAAAACAGGAAAGTTATTTCTCAGTATCTAACAACTATGGGTGTTTGAAACATTACTTAGGATCATCGGATGGATAAAAGTGGAAATATCTCCAGAGAACATAGCTTCTCTCTTTCAGAAGGACATTTCTATAAGCCTCTAAGGATAAGATTTTACAATGTGTGACAGACAACTGTCAAAAACAGTCTTCCTCAATATCCCTTACAGCAGTATGAGCTTTTTTTCTTCTTCTATCTTCAAGGACACATAAAGATGACATAAGTATCACCCTTTGTAATATCATCTTTTGGGTTTTTTTAATTAGAAATCACACTATTCAACCCTCTTATACTTATTTTCATTACCTTTTGATTTGCTGACATTACAAAATAACATTTTAAAAGAAAACTTAGACAGTTATCTGGTCTCTGCCCGGAAAGAACTTTCTAAGCATAAAAGCAATTAATCATAAAGGAAAAGATTAATAGGCAGACAACAAAAAACTGCTTTAATTTCTGTAAATCAAAAGCCATCATATGTGAAAAGGCAGTTGTGGGGGAAATGCTCCATATTGACAAGCAAAGGTTAATATCCTTACTATACCAAGAGTTCGCACAGATCTGGGTGTGGTTAACACCATGGCCCTAGCATTCCTCTCTTCCTCCATAGAAGACACCGCAGTGTCCCTACAAAAAAAAGAGGTTACAACTTATCTCCCCCACCTCTGAGGGTCATTCTGCCTCTCATCATCTTGGTTCTTTGTCCCCACCTGGATGCCCTCTTTCTTACAAGCCCTGACGGAAGGCTCAGATAAACAATCAGTCAGTTGGTCTAGATTCCAGATTTCCCCAGGAACCAGCCTTGAAACACTGTTTTCTACCTTGTTCTGCAGCCGGCAGGCAAGTAACAACTCGCCCGGGGCTACAGGGATACCTTATCCAACTAATTCCAGCTAAAGCCCAGAATACTGGCTCCTGCCTGGGCTGGGGAAGGCAGAAATCAAACAATTAAACAATTGATAAGAAAAACCAGAGATTCCAATAGAGCATGTGCCAGCAATTCACAGAGAAGAAATATCTCATGGCTAACAATAAGATTTTGAACACTTAAACACATTAATAATGATAGATGTAAATTAAAATAAGGAGGTGCCATTTTTATCTGTGAAATTAGCAAAGATTTTTTAAAATAATAATGCTAATATAGGTGTCATACAAATGATAGTGGGAGTATAAATTGGTAAGATCTTTCTAAAAAACAGTGAGGAAATGTTCCAGTATGCTTTGAGAGCATTTACAATGTTCCTTCCCTTTGACTCTGTGATTTCACTTTTAGAAATTGATCTTAAGTAACCAAAAACATAGTGAAAAGAGTTAAGTATAAAGACATTCATCACTACATTTTGTACAGAAAATACAAACATTCAACAATAAGTAAACTGCAAATAAGTTGTTTCATTCATAGTGTGATTATTATGAAGCTAAAAAGTATATATATAAGAGTTGACCCTTATATATACAAAGGGGGAACCAAAAAAAAACAATTATTTTCTGTAGGGTGGGGCCCTTGTAGAACAGGTTTCCCCTACTAGGTAAGTGTTCTAAGAACCCACCAGCTTCACTGTACCACCTAGTGTTATTGTGAGAGGCTGCATACGACTTCAGTGAATTTTTTTTTTTTTTTGAGATTCTTTCTATACGTGTGCCCATTACAAGATGGGTGATTTACCAGCACATCTGCCCACGCTGCACTGAGTGTTCGGCAGGTTTTGACCAAAAACAGCATAAGTCCTGTGCCCCACCCTCCCTATTCACCCAGCTGTGCCCTGAGAGACTTTTTGTATGCTTCCCAGGATGAAAAAAGTCCTCAAAGGGAAACGTTTTGCCAATGTGGAAGAGGTGAAACAAAAAATGGCAGAAGCACTAAAAGGCATAAAAATTGACGAGTTCAAAAACTGTTTGGAGCAGTGGAAAAAGCGTCTCGATAGGTGTATTGCATCAAACGACGAGTACTTGGAAGGTGACTGTTTAAACATGTAAGAATAAATACACAATTTTTTATAAATACATTTGAGGGTTTTTTTGCATTCCCCCTCATATATATGGTGCTAATGACCATTTGCTGTTCTAAGTGGTTAACATGTATTAACTCATTTACTCCTCAAAACAACACGACATGGGGCCTGTGAGGTAGGTAGATGCTAGTATCATTTCCATTTTACAATTGAGGAATCTGAGGCCAGAGAAGCTACATGATTAGTTCAAGGTTACACTAAGAAAGAGTCACACGTGCTTGTCTGAAATTCCAAAATCCAAAAAGCCCAGAAAACCAAGTGTTTTCATAAATTGGTGGCAAACTCACTAATTTGCAAAATCGGACCTGAACTAACATGAAACTATGGATCCTCTTTAATGCACTTAGAAGGAATGCATTTCACCAAAGAAAAGTTAACGCATTTGATTGCAGGGTGCTATTCCAGACCCCATTTTACATGATATGGTCTCTATACCACATTATCTTTCTAGAAACTGAAATTTCTGAAGCTTAAAACACAACTAGTCCCACGAGTTTCAGATAAGGAATTGTGGCAGAACTGGAATTCGAATGTAAGCCGTCTGGCTGTGGAGTCTGTGCTCCCAACCACTTTGATATTTTCAGAGACTCTTCAATGAACGGGGGAATGCTTACCATTGAAGTACTTATTAACTACATACTATGCGCGAGACACAGAGACAAATTTTAAATTGCAATTGTGACACGTGCTTCCAAAGAGAGATAACTGGTGTCAGAAGAGCCTGTATTGAGAAAGTTTGTCCTAGACAGTCAGAGGCAGTTTTCCTGAGGAAGCATTTGATCAGAGATGTGAAGGATGAGCAAGAGTTAACCAGACTAAAGAGAAAAGGGAAGAGCAAACCTGGCAGGCTTAAGAACATGGGCAATGGCCCTGTAATAGGAGGGAAAATGGGAACAAAGGACTGAAAAAGAGCCAATGTAGAATAATCACTTACCTCAGTTTACCTGAGGGACAGTTAGAGGCTAAACCTTTTTGGTTCCAGTATAAATAATAACACTCTTGGCTGGGCTCGGTGGCTCAGCCTGTAATCCCAGCACTTTGGGAGGCCAACACGAGTGGATTACCTGAGCCCGTGGGTTTGAGACCAGACTGGGCAACTTCGTGAGACCTCATCCCTACAATAAATCAAAAATTAGCCGGCGTGGTAGCACATGCCTATAGTTCCGGTTATTTGGAAGGCTGAGGCAGAAGGATCGCCGGAGCCAAGCAGGTCGATGCTGGAGCAGCTGTGTGCCACGGTACGCCAGCCTGGGCGACAGAGTGAGATTCCAACTCAAAAAATAATAATAATAATAATAAACAACACTCTCTTTACTCTCAAAAAAATATCTTGCTCTGGATGATAAGGTATACAGTCACCCTACTTTTAGGCCACATCAGTTATGTCTTTACCCTAAGAATCATGAGAAGTTATGATGGAGGTTAAACTGGGGAGGGGATGGGTAACATAATCACATTTTAATTATTAAAACAGTACTCCTGCTTCAGTGCAAAGAATGGATGGGAACACTGAAGAAATGGGTGAATATTTTAGATTAGTTAGGAGACTACTACAGGAGACTGGGCAAGAGATAATGGCAGCTTGGTTTACGGGCATAGGGATAGGGACAGAAATAAGTGGATGAACTTGAGATTTGGTTTGAAAATAAAATGGACAGAACTTGATGTTGATCTGGATATGGAGAGGGAGTGGCAGGTGTCAAGGATGAGGCCAACATTCCTGGTTTGCAAACTAGTTAGAAGGTTGTAGGATTTGCTGAGACAGGAACACTAGAGATTTCCATGAGCGAAAAATGAAAATGTGTGATATATCTGCAGAACCACCACAATTTGAAGGTGAGGGTCTAGAGAACAAGGAGAGTTTAGGCTCAAAACTTGCTGATGTGTCTTTCCATTCACAGAGGCCTCCACCAACGCGTATTTCTTGGTTGGAAAACGGAGCTGTTCGGTGGTCAGACAAAAAAGAAGGCCCTCCTTAGCTGGTGTTGTGAGACCAGGAGTATCAAGCAAATATCCCTTGCAACTGACTCTCAAATGTTTTTACTGTCCACAAAACAGTTACACATAAAGGCTCACTTAAAGCCACAACTCTGTTTATATTATAATCTGCATTTAGGAAACTGAGGCAGAGTACTTAAATTACCTGTCCTTATAGGTCGGGCATGGTGTCTCACACTTGTAATCCCACCACTTTGGGAGGCAGGGGCAGAAGGACTGCTTGAACCCAGGAGTTCAAGACTAGCGTGGGCAACATAGTGAGACCTCATCTCTACAAAAATAATATTAAGACTAAAAAATGAGCAGGGTATGATTGTGATCGCCTGTAGTCCCAGCTACTAGGGAGACAGAGGAAGAAGGGTCGGCCTGAGCCCAGGAGGTGGAGGCTAGTGTGTCGTGATGGTGCCACTGCATTCCAATCTGGGTGACTGAGTGAGACCCCAACTAAAAAAAAAAGAAAAGAAAGTACCTGTCCACAGAGACAGGAAGAAGCTTCTCTTAGGTCATCCAATCTCCTCCTATGAGCATCTACCGAGTGCAAGAGACTATACGAAGTCGCTGTACGAAAGCTACCGTATCATGACATCCTACTAGGTGCCAGGCTCCAGGAGATTAAAAAAGAAAGAAAATTTTAAAACGCGACTTCAGAACTTCTGAGGATGTCTCCACACACTTACCCCACAGTCAGTTCGCTTAAAAACTTTCAAAAGGCTTCACGTCCCAAGATGGGGTGGAGGAGAGACAGCGTCGACGAACGGGGCCACCGAGCACCACCCCAAATACCGGGCCCGGGGGGGAAATGGGGTCCCAACGGCTCGGCCGCAGGAGACACTAGGAAGGGGCCGCGGGCCAGGCCGGGTCGCTCCGCAGCGCGGGCCGCCCGCCGACTGGCAGCGGGAGGCCCAGAGGCCCGTTTGCCCGGCGCGTCGCCATGGCAACGGCCCGGGCCCGCCGCTCTCCTCCCCAGCCCCCCCACCCCCACCCTCCGGGGGA